CAAAACGCAATGCAAAAATCACATTCACTTTCTCTTCCACTGGTTTGAAATGGTCTTGGCTGGGATGGAAAACTACTTCTGCGCACAAATCAGGATTAAGTAGCATTTGAAACAGAATCTGATGACACTCGATGGGTTGTTTTAGTCAAGGTCAGTCTTAGAGGTTTCTTTTTTAGTCATGAATATTTCAAGGCATTGGGAAATACAACAGATTTTAAGTTTTCAGAGGCTTTGAAAACATCTGAGATTATCAATGTATTATTTTTTTAATGTGTGAAAATCCAATTTATAAAAGTAATAATACAAAAAAAGCAGGTGAGACTTGGAATATTACAATACCATTTGCAGCTCAAACTTTCTGATCTTTAACAGTTGGAGTTTTTTTAATCACATAGAAGGACTCACACTCAGCAGCTTATTTGCATTTCACTCCAGCTAACACCCTCGTCTTGCAGCGGAAAAGACAACTTCTGATTGTTCTGTGAGGGTAGAATCAGTTCACACTGGTCTGCTGCAGTCAAAATAAATCTGGGTATTTTTCCAGTGAAAATTGGTAGAAGTGGTAGATTTTAAAAAAAGACATTGTAAGTGTGTCATTTTTTTCTAGAAACAAAAACTTGCCGTCTAGTGTGCTATCACCACCGACTGATTTAAATACAGATAAGCCAGTCTGGGAAACTTTAACATTTTGCTGACATTCACTTGCATAAAGACTCAAGTTACTCACTAATTGTTGTTTTAGACCTTACCAAGCTAACATAAGCAGCCTATGGTTACACTTTTCAATTTGTATATGACATTTCTTTTCATAAGACCTTGATTGGTTTCTAGCTTCGAGAGTCACTTCCTGGCATTTGCAAATAATTCATTCGCTGCTTAATGGCCATAATAAAAGACTGCTTGCTTTAAAGCTAATCCTCCTAAGTACACACAATAACTGAAAAAGGTAGCAGTATAACAATCAGGTTTATGAGCCCTCGCTGTTGTCCACGACTCCTTGTGGACAGGTTTCCTTTGTGATGTTGTATTATAAAGAACGGTTTATCCAAATAATACGTACATTTCCTGCTAGAACGTTTATAGCCGTTCCCTCAGGTTTTAGCACTGAATGGCAGAATCATGTCTTTAAAGCTCTTTAATCCAGTATATTTAAAAATATTTTAACATACTTTTCCTTGTTTGCTGCACTAGAAACACAATATTTAGATTCAATTTCAAAAACGTAGGCAAAAAAAAGTAGTGCTGACTACAAATCCCCAGAGCAGCACGTAGGGTTTGAGGTACATTATGTGTACACCAGGAAAAGGAAATGTTCTACAGAAGTGAAACATTGATTTGCAGTAAATGTAGCCTCTATGAGTGAATTTCAATTATAGGATGGATACACCACAATGTTCTGGTACACTGTGGAGCTCTGAGTTAATTATTTGGTTGACTAATGTGAAGGCCTAGAGCTAGTGCAGCAAGAGAAACCCAATTTCCCTCCATTGTTCATGAAGAAAAGAGAGCGTGTGGCATAAGCATGTTGCTCTCAGCAGGGTTAGGAGCAGAGGTGGCAGGTTAGTGCCAGGAACATCGCTGGTTTGAGCCCCCAGAGCTAACAGGAACAATCTTAATTTACACTGGTAAGCGAGGCTGAGCGAGATCAGTGGTGTCCAATTTTCAGGATATGCCACATAAAAGATCTGACGTTGGGTGTAATGAACTGTGCTCCACTGTTTGGACTTAGAACAGATGAAACTCTGCACATGCGAGTGCCCAGTCGCACCAGTAAGTGGCTAAGCAAAATTAATTTGTGCTCCCTTCCCACGAAGAGAGTCAATATTTCTCAGTGAATGTGCTCTCATGTGGACAGACTGTGTTCAGCAAGCGGGGGAGAGCAGCAGCACGTTCAGTCAACCAATCATCTGCCAGACAGACACGTGAATGAGATGTGAATGTGTGTACCAAACAACCAATCACTGATCTGCACACCTTCTCCTTTTATCTAATATGTTTTAACTTAGTTAGTCACTACATTAGTGACTTTATTCTAGTGTCTGATTCCACAGTCTACACAACAACCTACATACCAGAGCTGCCCCGTGAAAGTCCATGAGTCATCTTCTGTCGATGACTCTTTTGTCGAGAGCGACAGGTGATTTCGTCTCATACATCGATTTATTTGTGACCGCCTGCCACAATATCAACAATGGCCGCTACATGTTGCCACTTTTTTGACTTCAATTAAAAGCCTAGTCCCAATTAAACACCCAGTCCCTTCTACTAGCCATGTGTTGCTACACATTTTGACCATTAAACACCTGTCTCAATTAGATGCCTGGTCTGGCTGCCAAACAGTTCAGTTTTTTAATAGAAGTTCTTCAGATGTATAAAACCGGGTTGTGTCCAATGTTCATTCCTTGATTATCCTGGAACTTATTAATGTTCCTTTAGTCCGTAAGGGTCTTCAGATCAAAAGATTAATCCAAGTTGCGAGTATGGTTTTAACAGGATAAAGTGGTGTTGTGTCAGTATGTTAGATGCTGTAATCCTCAAGTGTTGTAACTCACTCTCTGTCTGATGCGCTGTCTGTTGGAGCTAGATCAAATGAATGATTCATAATTGATATACTATCTGAAGCCTAATTTTTGAACAAGTAATATTCATACTCGTTTAAATAAACAACTTGATTGTATTTCACAATCTTTGCTGAGCAATATTTTATTTTATCAAGCTGTTGATTATAGTGATTTAAGCAAATAATAACAGCCTCTGGCTATTAATTGAAGTTTTACAGTATATAAAACAAGAAAAATCTTATTTCATTGTAGAGCTGTACGCAGCGCATCAATTCTCTCAGCCCCTAGTTGCCCCTTTGTCTCTCTCACGCCAAAGGGTTTTAGTTCACCATCATGGAAGAGTGTGTAAAGCTGCCAATATTTGAACATAAGAAGCTGCAATAAGAGTATTTTGGGGCACTTTTATAGTACTTTTCTATGAAAAATGACTCAAACCGATATGTCGACTACTAAAATAGTCACCGATTATTTTAATAGTTGATTAGTCATCGATTAGTCGACTAATCGTTGCAGCCCTAATGATGATGAGATGATAGCAACTTGAAAACTATTAGCCAATGATAAGGCTAGTTAGAGTGAGTTAAGTTGAGCTTGACTTATTTTTTTACTTCTTCTTTTTACATCTCGTAAATATTTAAAAACTTACATAATGAGGTCGCGGATATGCAAATTAGTACATGACCACCATCTACCAATGTCTAGGGACTTTTCAAGCACTCTTTTGCTAGTTTACATTGAAAATAGTTGGCAAAACTGTATTCAGGCACTTTGATATTAATCTAGCCGGGGAACCAAACAAACGTGCGAGCTCATGATTTATTTGCATTACATAAAATATGTGATGACATCATTTTTGGCACGCATACCCTTGTTTAGACTGATGGCAAGCACAAACCTAGCCTAGCCGAGTGTCCTTGAGGCATTTTGAAAACAACCAAAATGGCTGCAGCTGCTGTGGAGCATTCAGTTGAAGTACTAATTTCAAATTCTTTTTTTTTTTAAAGATATTTCTTTGGGCTTTGGCCTTTACTTGATGGGACAGCTATGGTGTGAAGGGGGAAGAGAGAGGGAGGATGACATGCAGCAAAGGGCCTCGGGCCAGAACTGAACCCGCAGCTGCTACTGCAAGGACACAGCCCCTGAACATGGGGTGCCCGCTCCACCAGGTGAGCACGTTCACACACACAAGTTCTTTGCTACATTACCGATCACCCCTGCATGCTATAGTCTGTTTGCATTTGTCTGACGCTCAGCGCTATGTCATGTTTTGTTGCTTTGATTGGTCGTAGGTCTACTGAATTGCGCCCAGAGGCATTTCCATCTGCAGCAGGTGACAACGCCCTTTTGATGTTGAAAAGTGAACAGAAAAGTTCCAGAAACATTTGTGAAATGGTCTGGTGATGCCGATTATAGAAAATGAATGAATGAATAAAACTTTGTTGTTATGAAATACTCGTGTGACTGACCACTCAAATAACAAAAGATTGTTTTGTTAATTTTTGATTTGACTGTAACTCTTAATTTGGACAACAGCATTTTGTGCACTGACAGCATCACTACAAAATTCCTTTGTAAGCCAATAAGCAATAATGTTGAATTGTTGCCCAGCACTGCGAGGATGTGCTCAGTACCTGCTGTTGATGCGCCCTCAAACAAAGCATTTAACCACTCAACTGGTGCCACTTATCAGTGCCTCTGTCAGCTCCCAAGTGTCAATGTGAACAACTGACTGAGTAAAAAGCAGGTGCTGCTGTGAGGAAAAAAACAGTCATCACTCAGTGAATTGATCCTCGCTAAATTAAAGTCAAAAGGAAAAAAAAAGTAAAAGCTGAATTGCATTTATGTCCATAAAAAAATAAACAAGGACAAACCCTACAAGTTGTCTTGACCCTCTTCAATTATCAAGCTTAATTAGAGGTCTTGCTTCGCTGAACAAGGAGACGGCCTGGAGAGGAAAGTAAGGCTTTTATCCACACTGCGTAGGTTTTTAGATTCCAAAAATTCACAGTATTTTACGGGTATAAAAGCTGATAATGATCTCTGTTGGGAAATTAAACTTTTAGAAACAGTGTTACACTAAAGCAGAACAGTAACAGTGCAGCAGAAAAGCATTTCAAATTCTATTTATCTTCCTTACTTATTGGCATTTCATAAACACCTCTTATTAAACTCAAAGGTGATGGATGATATCTAAAAACTTAATCATCCCCAGCCTAAACCAGTCACTTGATGATGACTGAGATCGTTTTGTCCCTTGTGTAGCCACTGAGTCATCCCTGGATGATGAATGCATATCAAACCACACACAGAGAACGTGGTGAATCCATCAGCACAGTGAAAAGCTTTGATATCGGCAGATTGGCAGACTTTCTCAAAAGAAAATGCCAAGAGCGTGATGGCGATGGGTCACAAAGTAAAACAAACTTTTAAAGCTCTGCATAAGGGTAAAGGTGATTTTGTGTCTTTATTATTTTCACTGAGACCTGGTTTGTTGAAAACCATTATTTTCCAAGTGAAGCTGAACAAACAGTCCAAGCAGAAAACCTCCCTAAAAGCGATTCTGTACTTAAAGGACATTTTTTTTTGTCAGTAAAAGGGAATAAGATCGATCAGACAAAGGCTCACTTTCTGCCACATGCACTTTTTGCCACCTTGTGATGTGAGTCAATAAGTGAAAGGACACACCAGGTGAGATGAGCCGAAGGCTGGCGCTGTCAGAACAGCACGGTGTCTGGTTCTGGCTCAGCAGAGCAGCTGCTTTGATGCCCCAGGAGCAGAGAGAGCTGATGGCAATTTTTCTGTGCCTTAGTGGAGCACTGCATTGTGGGAAGACTACAGCACGGCGCAGACTTCAGTAGATTCGACGGAGGAAGCAAACCTGTGGGTAAAAAGAAGCTGGAATTATCCTTGAGTTTCCTGATATCTTAACACAGACGTTATTTTAATAAATGTCTGCAGCCTGTTGGTTTTGTCGCCTCCACCCTGAACTCCCACAGATATGAAACACTCACAGGTTAAGGGTTGGATATTAAATACTGGCTTGTGAGTGCAAATGTAAGTTAGCTTGCAAGGTTAATTCAAAGCAGCCAAAGAGTAACAACATGCCTGACCTTTCTGTTAATTTGTTCTTAACAAATGTCACCTAGATCAGATTAAAATTTGCTAAGTGTTCCAGTAATGGCCTGTTAAATGTTGCGCTCTACCATGCATACCACACTGCGACTGTAAGCCACAGAATTTTAGTTTAAAGGTCTTGTATAAAAAATAAAATAAAAAATATGGCAAGATAGTCAAGCCCACTGATTTGAATGTACATTTGAGCAAATAAAGAACACTTCACTGCATAGAAATCAAATCAAATTTAAGAGTGAATAAAGAATATGTATGCTTTATACCAGCAGACAAATCAGTTATCAAAAGGTGTACATTTACTAGTGTACAATATGTAAGCACTAGGTGCCACTAAAATCATTAGAGAAAGGTCACCAGTCAATCATAGTTGACACATTTTTCACTTGGTATTAACATGTATCTTGGGTGATCACATCATCAGTGGGTAGCTCTAAATACAGGTGTGACTGCACCCAATGTCCTCAATGTGCCTTGAGATCCGACCTCTCAGACCACATTCAGAAGTGGTCTCACATTCTTTCAGCGGTGTGTACGCTAATATGTCCTGTGCCATACTTAAGGACCGCCTACTCAGCTGACTGTTGCTGCTGTTACGTAGTTTAGACGCAGTGTTGAAGATCCGTCTCTGGAGCTGTCTTCCACCTGGTAAATGGTCAGTTAGCTTGTGCCCAGTTAGCATGAGCTAACATAGCAGCTGTTAAATGTTCCCGAAAAACTCACACTGACACTGAAACAACTCGATTCTGTCATTAAACCTGTTGATAACCATTAAGTAACGTTAGCCGTGTGATGCTAACAGTTTGTCCTGTCTCTCAGCACATTTACATGACGTTAGAGAAAATTGATTTATTGTGTTACCCCCACTAAAACCAGACTTTAAAAAATACATGTGAACATGGAAGTCTGACTGAAATTGTACGAAACAATTTCGGACTAACACACACACAGATAAAGCAAATGGAATCAAATTACTTCTGCACAAATACAGTCAATCGGACCCAAACTATAGCCTATATGTTCTGCTCATGCTCCACAGTTTCCACCCCAGGCTTTGACCCGGAAGTCAAATAGCATTAAATGTGAAACAGAAGAAGAAGCCAGTAACATGGCGAAATCTACGTCCAGCGCGCATCTCATCTGTACAAAAAGTGAAGCGTACAGCATGTACGAAATGTACAGAGCCGTAAAGCTGTCCACCACGGTACCAGTTTGCCGCTAGCTAACTGTAGCTAACTTTGTAAGTTGTTTGGTGTGTGAAACACAACAGGTCAACCAGAAAAGATCCAATACTAACAATCTAAAAGGGGGCATTTTGCCACCTATCGTAGCAGAATCGGACAGACTTTGCTCAATAAATCAATTCTCCTCCCGTGTTTTTACACTGGGACAAGGCCAGTAGTCCAATTAAATGGCCTAGTCAAGCTATAGCCGTAACTCTACTTAAAGGGATAGTGCACCCAAAAATGAAAATTCAGCCATTATCTACTCACCCATATGCCGATGGAGGCTCAGGTGAAGTTTTAGAGTCTTCACAACACTTCCGGAGTTCCAAGGGGAGAGGAGGTAGCAACACAACTCCATCTAATGGAGGCTTACGTCCAGAAACACATAACTGAAACCACAGAATATGATCCAAGTGTCCTGAAGCCCCGACATAAAAAGTTGTTTGGAAAAACGTCATTTGAACTTTTTAGCCTCATTGTAGCCTGTAGCTCTAACTCGCACGCACACGTGAGTGCAGTGTACAGAGAAGCAGTTAGAGCTACAGGCTACAATGAGGCTAAAAACAGAGTTCAAATGACGTTTTTCCAAACAACTTTTTATGTCAGAGCTTCAGGACACTTGGATCACTACAGACGAGCAGTATGGAGATATTCTGTTGTTTCAATTATGTGTTTTTGGACGTTTGAATCTGGGGCGCCATAAGCCTCCATTAGGTGGAGTTGTGTAACTACCCCCTCTCCCCTTGGATCTCCGCAAGTGTTGTGAGGACTCTAAAACGTCACCTGAGCCTCCATCGGCATATGGGTGAGTAGATAATGGCTGAATTTTCATTTTTGGGTGCACTATCCCTTTAACTTTGCTGACTGTGTGTGTGCAGGTGCGGAGCTCACACTCCTGCAGCAGTGGTCTCCCAGCTGCAGGAAGGTGGAGGGACTGTGGGGCGGCTAGCTAGCCATAGATTGTTTAAAATTTTTGTCTGATGATAATTAAAGGGAGAGAAAGAGAAAGCGTACAGTGGCTGAGTAAATCAATATGCTGCACACAGCTCTATAATAATAAGATTTTATCCATTTTGAATAGTTAATAATAAATCAATGTATGGGAAACACTGCACAGATTCTCACAGTCTGTCTCCTCGAGACAAACTAATAAACTGGCCCTGCGGTGTTCTTACAGTATGACACGGTAAATCTCCCTCTAGTTGGAAAAAACAACGCATTTGGTCTTTGTAAATAGAAATAATTAACGTGTTAACTTGCATTTAGAGCATGAAAGTGTTGTCACCTTCGAGATGCATGTGGAGACATATTTAGAGCTGTCCACATTTGATCAGAACACCCAAGACTATACCAGGTGTAAACAGCCTCATTAAGACAACCATCCACACTCACATTCACACCTACAGGCAATTATAGCATTGCCAATCAACCCTAATGTGCATGTCTTTGGATTGTGGGAGGAAACTGGGAGAAACCAAGGAGCACATGCCAACTCCACACAGAAGCCGGCCGCTGGATTAAACCCAGAGCAGCACTTAGACAGACAGTGCTAACCACCGCACAACCGAGGTGCCACTTACACAAGATCCTAAGGGTAAATGACGCTGAATAATGGAAGTAATTACTGATCAGCTATTAGCTAGCCAATTGACGTAGCCACTTTAGCGTAAAAGCTGATAGCAGAGTCTGACATTTTTTTCCCTCCCCAACACACAATGAAGCCTATCTGAAGTGTTTTACTTGAATATAGTTTTATTTCCTAACTTGTTTTTGGAGGGAAGCCATGGTGAACCGGATGAAAAGTAATTGTCTAAAAAGCTGCAATTTCTTCGTCTTTAGAAAGACATTATCTCCACTCACGTTCTCATCCAACAGGGAGCTTAGCATCCCTGCAGGTTAAATGTAGAGGATACCATGTGGATGAATAGAAGTTAACTCCACAACACTTGCCCAACATATTATTTTGCTGCACTGTATATGTGATTCTAAAAAGACAAATGCATCTAGTTTTGTGCCAGTATTTACCACAACATGAGCTAAACATTATCAAGACGAAAATAAAAATCCTCACCAGCATGGTCTCCAGGCTGTGAGCAGAAATCAGCAGCATCCCACTCATAATTCTCATCAACTGAGGCCTTTCTCCTGGAGAGGTCACAAAACATCCTGTTGTACATAAACACAGTTTGAATACTTGATGCAGACACAGAGACACTCAGAACCCCTAATTAACAATACATCAAGAGCATATGTTTGCTGATATTTCTTCTCACATCCTACCGAGAGATTTCACTTCATGAAATGTTTACACGACAGTGATAAATGTTTACCTACAGCACAAAGACACTAAAGAAATCTCCATAACTCTCTGTTATGAATCACTTGATGCTTTATGTAACGGATCAGCGCTTGTTGAGCAACTCTGAGGGATGAATTGTGTTTTGTAGTGTTTTGACATTTCTCAACCTTTTTTGACACCCACTTAATGATGAGCAATTTTAGTTTGTTAGCAAGTTGTCTCAAAAATCTGTTAAAAGTTAACTTCGGGAATGTGGAAGTCACCAGAATCTGAAATATGCTGTACTTTCTTTATTTCCTTCTATCGATAATACTGAATTGACCTTGAAGGCGTTACTATGGCCACACAGGATCTTCTAGCACTACAAATGTTAGCCCTACATTTTCTTCTCTTAAACCAAATTTCCATCATTCATTATGCCCTTAATACCTTTGGCTTGCTTCCATCATGTGACTGAGCTTGTCCTCTCTGCTCCCCTGGCTCTCCTCTACAGTTTCAGGTGAGCCGGTGAAGGTTGGGGACAGGTGACACAGCGACAGGCGTCCGTTAGCAGGCTCCATGCTGCCTCGCCCGCTGCTGGCATAACTGCTGTAGCTGCTCCCAAACTCTGGCACTCCCTCATAGCCCCCCGCCTCCACCTCTAATGCCTCTTGGTAATTATCGTTGGGTGGTACGCATCTGGAAGCTTCCTTCATGGCCTCCAAGGCACCCTCTGCTTCTTTTACAGCCTCCCTGTAGTCAATTGGCCATTTGGCAGCTCTGGGAAAGACTGACGCCTCTCTTGTTGGCTCATAGTGGCAAGACATGTCAGCATTTGGTACAAGCTTCTCTGCTCTGCTCCTCAGAGATAAAGCATCCACAGCAGGAGGTGACCGGGAGGCAGCTTGGGTAGCAGAAGGAGAATTTGCACGAGATTTGGAGATCTTCCTAGTGGGAGAGCTCTGGGGTTCCCAAAACAGAGTGTCTGGGCGACATGAGGACGCAACAGAGCAGTTCTCTTGACTGAGAGAGTCTATCCACGCATCAGGAGTCAGGAAGCTGTTCTCTTTGCGTCTCCGCGAGTCAAGACTCTGACTTCGCTGCTTAGAGTCGCAGAGTCTAGACCTTTGAGTCACAGCTCTCCGGAGTTCTGGTTCTGGACTTCGCAGAGAAGCTTGAACTGTTATAATATCATCCACAGAGGCAGGACTGCGGCAGTTAAGGCTTGTGCTCCTACTCACGTCTTCATGCTGACCTCTGCGAGTCAGCGAGTGCCCTCGTTGCACATGGGAGGCGATTCTGTGGTGCAGCATGGGCTTTGTAGGCCGCATCACACACACCTCCAACTCTGGCTCATCCACACTCATCTCCACACACACGTCTTCAGCAGTGGGCTCGGGGAATGCAACCTCCGCTTTTGAAGAGTCTGGCACCAAGTCGAGAGCCGAATTAGATCTTTCAGTATATTTACTGCTATGGAAAGACAACGTTGTCAGGCCGCCATGACTAAGATTGTTCTGTCTCCGTGCCTCAGAGCATGAATCATTCGTTTGCATTTCTAAGACTGTGGATTGTGGTGAATTATCATAGCCCTCTGGTGCTGCCTCTACCCTTTCATGTCTCTGGTGCTTTGAGGAGAGATGTGGGAGACTTAATCTGCCTTTGGAAAAACTGCCTGCCTCCTCAGATAGGAGGGGGGTCTGTTTGGTGAGGGATGGAGCAGGATGATGGTTGCCGAAGTTAAGATAAGAAGGACTTGTGTGTGAAGATGCTCTACTAAGGGTCGGGGCTGAGATCAGAGTGAGAGGAGAGACAAGAGGACGGGCATCCCAGTGCTCTGAGGATGAAGGGAACTGCGTCTGTGGAAGACCAAAGCCCTCATTGCTGCCCTGGGGGTATCTATGAGGCAAGGTGCTGCTCTTATATTCCCACATAAGCTCATTAGCACCAGCGTCTCTCTTCACTAAGTCTGAATGCCCATGTTTTATTTCTCTCATGGAGCCTCTTTCCAGCGTGTACCTCTGGAGCTCCCTCTCCAGCTCCTCCCTCTCCTGAGCCAGCCTCAGACAGCGACTTAGGTTTCCCGCCTCCCGCTCATGCTCCATTTGGAGCACCAGGGTGCTGGCGGTTGTAGATGGCTGACCAAGGCTGGATCGGATATGTGGGAGCACTGGAAATGTGGGAGTTATTCCTCTGTCTTGATGAGGAGTGGTGGCCAAACTAGTGTTCGAGCACAGGCTGCTGAAGTCAGGAAAGCCATCGTAGCTTGACTTCTGATCCAAGATATAAGGGCGGAGATGGGGCAGGTCACAAATTTGGTTTGTGGAATTAGCCTCTACTGGTTTGCAAGGTGGGAGATCGACAGAGAGCACGAACGGCGGCTGCGTTCTGTCTCCCCTCTCCGAGTGCAGCGACACAGACCTCCGCACTCTAGCTTGGTCATACCTTCCGCTTTTCTTGCTGTGAACACTCAGCGAGTCACTGTCATATGGTGGGAGTGCAAAGCGCCCATCTGGGCCTCTAGAGATCAACTCAATTGGAGGAGAAATGGGAGAAGACGTTGTCCTAGTGAGGCGGCCTCTGCTGTAATTGGAGAGGAGCTGCTTCCGCCGATGATGATTCTCAGCGCTAAAGGAGGAACAGTCTGTCTGCGATGAGGAGGAGGTGGTGGTAGAGGAAGTGGTGGGATAGAGGATGCTGGCTGGAAGTAGGCTTCTCTTCAACACACTGTCTGGACTGCCAGTGCCTGAAGTCTTTCTATGAGAGAGAGAGAAAGAGGAGGTGGAGGGAGGGGTGGAGGAAGAAAATTGTAAGAAAAAACGGAGGTGTAAGAGGGAGAGAAATAGAGACCGAGAAAATAAGATTGAGTGAGAGTGAAAGAGGGGGTGTGAGAGACGTAGACAGAGAGAGACTAAAACAGCAGCAGCAGCAGCACTAGATGAAGACGAGGAAGAAAAATAAGATCTGAAAGACAAAATAACTTAAGAGCTGGCATTTTCAACGTTTAGTTTGTGAAGGAAGCAGAGGAAAAGGTCAATGGGAGCCATTATAATGAAATGATAAAGGGGTACTTACATTGATGGGGAGCATTTATAGATGGCAGAGGGGGAATCTGAAAGGGAGGGAGAGGGGCAAGATGGTATCTGACTCATTAGAATACAACCACACTGACCAAGAAGTAAAAACATAATCAACCCTAATAAGAACCCATTAAAGGGCCCAAGGCACCCAGGCTTGTCCAAAAAGTTAATTACACTTACATTTATCAGCCACTAATGAGAAATTACCCTAATTAGCAAGTAATGTAAATGACATCAATAACTTTTACAACTGAATGGACGAGCGGGGGACAAGAGGAGCGCCAAATCCATGCAGTGGGGTATGATTTATATAATGGATTGAAAGTGCCTTCAATATTTTATTGAATAAATGATGATATTCATGATGCAGTTCATCAAAGTGAGTGTCTCCTGAATCTCTGGAGTGAGGGGCGTTTTACCATCCTTCTTCTGTCTGCGACGCCGGTCCCTCTTGTGGATGATGATACAGGCGGACCCCAGCAGCAAGACCAGTGCCAAGCACATGAAGCCGACCCCGCCCAGCACGCCGGCCAGTAATGGCTCCGGGACGTACTCCAGGAGTCGGGATGTGGCCGGGTAGATCTCCATCCCTGTGACATCATTCCATCGGGGATATATATATAAGGAGATAAAAGTAAAAGCAAGCTAAGTGTGACTGTGGTGTCAGCAGCAACCATAATAACACTGGTGCTTGCTGTAGCAGCAACACACACACTTGATAAACAACCAAGACAATAAAGATAAGTTCAAAATGGAGGTATAACTCTTATCCTTTTTCCTTTCTCCATTGTTTTATTTTCATTCATTCACTTTTGTTTTTTTGATTTGTTGATATAAAGATCCAGAACTACTATGGACACAAAAGGCTTATTTCTTTCAAATTTTGTGCACAGATTACTTTAAATCTCTTAGTGAGCACCTGTCCTTGCCGAGATAATACATCCACCTGACAGGTGTGGCTCATCAAGCATCATTACTACCCAGGGGTGCTTTGACCTGGTCACAATAAAAGTCCACTCTGCAATGTGAAGTTTTATCTTGCAAAAAGAAACTTCTTAAGCACTCTGAACGGTGGATTTCACATGATGCCAAGTTTTTGGCCATGTGGGATTTATCCATTAATGGAACACTTCTTCAAAGTGCGACCATCAAAGGTGAGCATTTGCCCACTCAAGTAGGTTACAACAACAGACTGCTGTCAGGTCAAGACCCTGGTGAGGACAACGAGCACACAGATGAGTTCGACTGGACAGTTTCTGATGTTTTGTGTGGAAACTCTTTAACTGACCCTTCGCTAAGTCCGGCCCCTAGACGCGGACAACAACACAGCTGTGCTCCATTGACTCTAATGCAATCATTTCAGATTTCCTTCATTTTCAGGCTGGTGTTGTGGATCTGTAGCTAAATGTTGTGCCTGTGAAATCTGGCACAGTGGTAGAGGGTCATGGGAGGATGTGAATGAAGCAATATTACATCAATTGGCCAAAGGGGGTGCTATAGCAACCGATTGAAATCGCAGACTTTGAATGGGCATATCTCATGCCCTGTATGTCGTAGAGACATGAAACTTTGCACAGAGATGCCTCTCCTCATGAGGAACACATTTGCCTCAAGAACCCATAACTTCCGGTTATATAGATTTTCCGCCATTTTGAATTTTTTGGAAAACACTTAAAATTGATCTCTTCCTAGGAAGTTTGACCGATCTGCATGAAACTTGGTGAACATAATCTAGGGACCAATATCTAAAGTTCCCTCTTGGCAAAAGTTGGAAAACTTACTAAAACTGAGCTTCTATAAGGCAATGACTTTAACTATCTGCCTTTCAACGTGCTACCTCAACTACTAATGTACAGTTTTAGCCCACTAACTATCCCACTATTGGCAATGGTACTACTGTACTTTCAATAAAGCAATCGTATTATCAAATTCACAAAAACTCTGAATACATTGCTCTTCTGAATGGGTTCAGTTCAATCTGCAATTTCCTATGACCTGTATCCCAAACACACACCATGTGAAACTGTACGTGGGCAACTGTGCACTCTATGAGTATTATCATCATTACTGAAATTTTAACTATTGAAAAATGTATATAGTGTTATTGATAAATATTTTTTTCCTTTAACTAAACAATCATCATCCTGGCTGACCTTTAATACATGCATATTTCCTACTACTTCTGTTAGTCTGCTACAACTCTGATAAATACTTTTTCATTTACATCACAAAGAAACTCATTAAAATAAAACAAGATTGCTATGAGGTTTGGTATTACCAGTTTTAAGTGGATGTAATCTTCCATCTACATCCCTGATGATCATTATCAGCAAATCATAAACTTGATTGTTTTGCATTTGCTCAGTCAGACGTCAAACCGAGATCATGTTAAACAATATACAGGCTTTGGCTCCGACTGTTGTGACAATACTTGGGTGGTACCCGTGGGAGCTGCATTTCTGTCTGTTTGATATCTCTGTACCATATCTAATGAAACATTCATGTCACACTCACATAAGAATCAGAAAAGACCAGTACAAATTCTATCGCTAACTCTTTAGAGAAGTTATTAGTGGAGCTATTTCTATCATTTAGGCCTCTAATGGACAGCGTTTCCCCGGGGGCCTGCTCTAATTTTGGTCCAATGCTGGGTAAAGAGGGACGGGGGAAGACATAAAGAGAGAGAGAAAAGAGTTAGGAATGTAGACTGAGAGAGGAGGATGGCTTGAAACAAGAGGGTGGGGTGAGAATGCGAAGGGGGCAAGGTTGCTCCCGAACACCTACCCATGGTGGAGACATTGACTGATGGACTGGGCTCGCTCAGCAACTCCCCGCGACGAGATAGCAGCCGCAGCTCGTACACACAGTCCTGAGACCAGCATCCGCACACACACACACACACACACACACACACACACAAACACACACACACAGCGGGGAGGACAGAGGATGAAACCACACTTTGTCAACACGGGACTGTGCCTGCAATGCTAATGAAGTTCATTTGAATTTGTGTAGGCCTATATAGGAGAGAAAAAGAAGGATGAGACGGGCAGAGAGAAGAAACAGCAGCACACCCAGATTGAAAGACAACAGAAAAGTGATGGCTGCCATGTAGTGCGCATAATTGAGTCTACAAAAGTAAAACCACAGAGGTATAGCCTAGATAAAAAATCTCCAAGGCTTTCGACAAGCAGCATGGACTGATTAGTCTCAGAGGGAGCAGTGTGACTGGCTTGTTACCTTGTGCAGACCCGGAACGACTATCTCGCTACTGTTGGCACTGATGTCCTCGTCCAAATGAAACCACTCCCCTTGCTCGGAGCGGGATTGGAGAACAAAGCCTGTGATGGGAGGGTGCTGGTCTTCAGGAAGGGACCATCGCAGTACGACACCTGCTGAGCCCTGATGAGCGGACAGCAAGGCAGGGGGCTTGGGTTTACTTCTCCTCAGTGGAGGATCTGATGCAAAGGGATAAAAGACCTTCAGCTGATCAGCCAGATACGCTCTGGCGGAAAAATTAAATTACAGTGGAGGAAAATGCTACTGCCACAACCTTGAGAGTGTGAGGGAAGGAGGGCTGGGATTGATGCTGGTTCTTTTGCAGAATCCAGGGAGATTGCAACAGTTTACTGCCCAAATTGTTACGTTTGATTACACCTTAGGCAAATACAGTGAGGCATACTCACTATATTTTAGGCCTAACAGTAATATTTCAGAAAGGTGGATAAATGTCATAATAATACTGTATAGTATAGATATTTTTGAACATAATAATCATGGCACAAACATTTGATACCGGCAATGAAGTTGATTTATTTGGATATTGATGACTGTTTTTGCCTAAAAGTTTGCCATTATCAGGTAGATTGTTTCACCATGGCTTTGTTCCTGACACAAACCCTTGGGAAAAGAATCTAAATGTTTTCTTTTAGTCTTCTCCAGTAGTGGTTTGACTCTTTAAAGGTATTTCTAAAAGTCTTTTGGATGCCGACTCTCTGCTGGGAAGTGTAAATTGTTTCCAGGGGAAAATCAACATCTGACTCTCAGTGTTGCCACAGACTGCGCCATCCACTGCTCCAGACCGCCATAGGCTAGGGCAGCCGACTAAACATAGTTAAAAGAACTGTAAAAAGTGCCTGATATCAGACAGAATTGTCAACTCGTTACACTCCAGTTAACTCGGGGGAGTGGGCGGATTCCAAGATCTGGAGCCAGGCAACTGTAAAAGAGAGGAGCAGTGGCACACTGTGAGGAAACACTGGGTATGAGTGTTGATTTCGCCCCCGGGTGAACATTTGATCACCCCAGGACGACTGTAGACATCTGTAACATTGACTTTAAATACCTCTAAAGATCCCGGCTCTGTGAGGCTGTATTGAGTCACAGTGCTTTGATTTAATGCCAACATGGTCTGACAACGCCAAGATGCTAATGTTTAGCAGGCATAATGTCCACCATCTTACTTCAGTGTTGCAGATAAAAAGGTATGAAAATGTCAGATCACGATCCTAGTGACCAAGACTATAACAGTTATCAGTATTATTAAGGTATTTTTAAAATGTGCTGAAAAAGTCCTAAAAGTTTGGATACACACACTGAAAGCATTTCACCAAGTTTTCCATAAACAAAACCACAAGAAAATAAGCTGCACTATGCACTTTATGTATTCATAAACATTAAAATAATATAGGCAATACCTTATGTAAACATATGAAAACCATATCAAATGTGCAGAAACATTAAAGAAAGCCTGTCTTTGAAATGGTTACTCGAGGGTCCGTGTCCCTGGAGACGAGGACAGGAACTAGCAGCATCACTCCGTTGCCTGCTGACCCACGTTGCATGCTGCGACTGCGTCTGGGAAACTTTTGCTAACTTTGATGCTGGCAAGTTTTTACTGTGAGTTTTTCAAAGCACAGTAATCCAGCGGTTTTAATGATAATTCAAAATTGAAACAGTAATAGTAACCATCGGTGATTTATCGTGAAAGCAGTAACTGCTTCATCAATATTTAGCATGTTATCCATCCCTCAATCCAGGCCAATTAAAGCACCCCAGACGTCCCTCTCCCCAGCAAAGCTTTCCAGCTCCTCCTGAGGGATCCTAAGGCGTTGACAGGCCAGATGAGATATGTAATCCCTCCAGTGTGTTCTGGGTCTGCCCCGGGGCCTCCTACCAGTGGCATGTGCCTATAACGCCTATAACGGGAGGCGTCCAGGAGGCATCCTGATCAGATGCCCAAACCACGTCAACGACCCTTTCAACACGAAGGAGCAGCGGCTCTACTCCGAACTCCCTCCGGATGTCCGAGCTCCTCACCCTATCTCTAAGGCTGAGCCCAGCCACCCCACAGAGGAAACTCATTTCGGCGGCTTGTATCCGCAATCTCATTCGGTCACTACCCAGAGCTCATGACCATAGGTGAGTGTTGGGAACGTAGTTGGACCAGTAAATCGAAAGCCTCTCTTCACCATGACGGTCCGGTCGCAGCACCCACATCACTGCAGAAGCTGCACCAAACCGCTGATCCATCTCATGTTCCATTCTATTTAGTATGTTACAGTAGGATTTGCTCATTCACTGTAAACACAAAGTACAGCTGAGGCTGATGTCACTAGTTTTGCAGGTATTTGTTCATAAACCAAAGTATTGGACAAATTCTGATTTTGATCTGATGATGGTGTGAGGTATTTAATCAGGGGTCATCAAAGTTGTGTCAATCTATCCAAAGAGGGACACGAATGTCGATGTTGAGAGATTTCAGTTTTGTCCAAAGTGATTGACATACTGGCCAATAGACTAACACTGCCATCCTTAGAGCCACGCCAACAGCTCTGTTTAAATTTGTGTTAGGAATGTGACCAATTGATGTACAGAGTACTTAAGCAGTAAATAAACAGTTGGGATTGAAGACATTGGCAGATCATGAGACAATGGGCCCCTGTGTCTTTTTTGGTCGTTCTGTTTCTGTAGTTCCTTTACATCTCTGTCAGGTCATTCTTTGTTGTCTTTATGGTCATTTTGTGTCTCTTTAAGGTATATTAGTGTCGCTTTTTGGTCATTCTGTCTCTTCGTAGTCATTTTGTGTCTCTTTGTAGTTGCTTCACATCTCTGTGAGGTCATTGTTTTGTCTTTATGGTCATTTTGTGTCTCTTTGAGGTATGTTTGTGACTTTTTGTGGCCGTTCTGTTTCTTCGTAGTAATTTTTTGTATCTCTGTAGCTCATTTGCATCTTTTTGAAGTCATTCTGTGTGGTCTTAATAGTAATTTTTTTTTGTCTCTGAGGTATATTTGTGACTGTTTTGGTCGTTCTTTCTCTTCGTAGTCATTTTTTGTCAGTTTGTAGTTCCTTTACATCTCCTTCGGGTCAATCTTAGTTGTCTTTACGGCCATTTTGTGTCTCTTTGAGGGATAGTTGTGTCTTTTTTGGTCTTTCTGTCTCTGTAGTTCCTTTACATCTCCTTCGGGTCAATCTTAGTTGTCTTTATGGTCATTTTGTGTCTCTCTGAGGTATAATCGTGTCTTTTTTGGTTGTTCTGTCTCTTCGTAGTTGTTTTATGTTTCTGTGTAGTTCCTATGCATCGCTTTAGGGTCATCCAGTTTTGTCTTTATTGTCATTTTTGTCTCATTGAGGTATATTTGTGTCTTTTTTTTTGGTTGTTGTGTGTGTCTTTGTAGTTCCTTTGCACCACTTTGTGGTACTTTTGAGTCTCTTCATGGTAAGTATGTGTTAAATTGAGTGACATTTTGCAGATGTTGGCCAAGGGAGCTTGGGCCCAATTGGCCTGTTTCGTAATCCATCAATGATTGTAGTGTGGTGCTTAAGAGTGGTGTTTCCTTTTGGAACAAATAATCCGTGGCCGAACACAAACACTGGATTGTAGCTAGCATATCAACCACACAACCAAGGTCCATTTTGGCCTGCAGGCAAGTTACTCAAGGAATTAACTTTAATTAGTTACGGTTGATATAATCTGCTGCTGGCACCATTTGCTATTTCAACCACTCACAATAATGGTCAACACCGGGTAAAACTGAAAAGCCTGCTAGCTGAATGTTTTGTTCATTGCTAATAAAAAAGGGAGGAAAAACACAACACTAGATAAGAGATTTGTTAGCTCAGTACAGAGTATTTTGCAAATCTGCAACAGGATCCAAAATGGAAGCAGCTGATATTCAACAGATAAAGAGAAAACCTGGGAATGATACCGACCCAATGTCCGAGTGGTTGCAATCTCGCTGAAGGGTCCTGTGCCCACTTTATTGTGAGACAGGATGCTGAACTGGTAGTCGGTGGCAGCAGACAGGCCTGTCACCTGCATCCTGCTGCCAGAGGAGGGGGGCACAGGCACAGAGAACCAGTCCTGCTTCCCATCATTATCACTCGCTGAAATCTTCTTCACCCTGCAGAGGGAGCGAGACGGAGAGGAAAGAAGTGAGAACAAAAGAGCGGCGGGGAATTCTGGCAGTCTGGTTTTATGAAACATGACAGAAAAGTAGGTTTCATTAATCATTCATACTCATCATCAGCTCCAGATTTTGTGGCAGAGACAGCACTGATGTATCCTTGCTATTGCACAGAGAGCTTGCAACTCAAATTATGGTGATTTTCATGTTCCTACTGGAGCTGAAGTTCTACATGTCTTTTTTATACAGAGCAAATTACTTGACCCAGAGGCTACAAAAAATCTATTCACCTATTCACCTATTAAAAAGTAGAGGAACTTTTGAAAATTATTAATGTCAGTCTGAAAGGAAGGCCTTGTTTTACTTTTTGAAGACGATGGCTTTGACTGAACAGAAGTGATGTTCTTTTATGAGAAAACAGAAAAGGGCAGAATGTCATATTAACCCGGTGTGGATAATTGTAAGGTCATTTTAGGTCTGTGAGACAGCTGAGAGTAATTTGAATTCAGCCCTATGTTACTGCAGTGAGTAAAACAGGTAATATCTAAGTAAGTAACCCGAGTTTTATTTATATAAAACAAAGTTACAAAGTGCTTCTCACATACAAAAAAAATATTAATGAAGATAAAGTAAAAGTAAACTGCAGTATAACTACAAGCGACAACTGCGGATTCAGTCAACAGAGGAAAACAGCTCAATTGCCCAAAATCAAAGCCCTAAGAGGCAATGAGCGGACTTTGGGCTTCACAATGCTGAGCAAAGTCACTCCAGCTGGTTTGATTTGTCTAAAGGAGTGAGATCAATCACACACTACTGACTCATCATTACAATGTATGAAATATTTCAATAATTACACTCTCGAAGTCTCGCCTTTTGCTCCCCCTTTATCGGATGTGAACAAAACTTGGTTCATATGCTCAAATCTTTGTGCTGAATGTCTCTACAGAGTTTAATTAGGATCGCTTCAAGACTACTTGAGTTATGGGCTATTTCTTGCCAAGGAAGCCCCTGCTTTGCGAAGACCTTTTGACTGATGATGGCCGTGACCAATCTTATTCATTTATATTAGAACTGTGTATCTATATCTCTTAATGTTGTATCCTAAATTTGGTGTTGATTGAGTCAAAATCCAAAAGTGTCTACTCATATTAATGTTTCTCACATCATGACAAATTAGCAAAGAATCCCTCATGGTGGCCTTTATAATCCAGAAGGCTTCTGTGTACAGGGCACTGAGATGTAGATGTATTTAAAATTTGTGTAAAGGGCATGGCCTTTTTAACCTGTTAACTATAGCACCACCATCAGGCCAGTTGGGATCAAATTTGATGGGGAGAAGTTTCACATCTCGTCTCTAGCTTGTTCCAGCTCATCTTACTATATAATGACGAAAACTCTGTCTGTGGGTGTGTCTGTTCCATGTTTTTCTCCTCACTGACTTGGTCAATCCATGTGAAATTTGGCACAGTGGTAGAGGGTCATGGGAGGATGCCAATGAAGCAATATTACATCAATTGGCCAAAGGGGGGCGCTAAAGCAACCAATTGAAATCGCAAACTTTGAATGAGCATATCTCATGCCCCGTATGTCGTAGAGACATGAAACTTTGCACAGAGATGCCTCTCCTCATGAGGAACAAATTTGCTTCAAGAACCCGTAACTTCCGGTTATATAGATTTTCCGCCATTTTGAATTTTTTGGAAAACACTTCAAATCGATCTCTTCCTAGGAAGTTTGACCCATCTGCATGAAACTGGGTGAACATAATCTAGGGACCAATATCTGAAGTTCTCTCTTGGCAAAAGTTGGAAAACTTACTCAAACTGAGCTTCTATAAGGCAATGAATATTGCGGAGGGCGTGGCTCATCACATAAAGGTGTATAACATCTCAAGGGTTTCACCCATCACCACGCAACTTTGTAGGCATATGACCACACATAATCTGAGGGGACCCCTCCATTATTGACCCCATCAAACAAAATGGGGGCGCTAGAGAGCTAATTTCTTATATAGGCCTAACCGCCATATCAATTTTTACTAAACTTGGTAGATATGTAGAACAGGACGCCTCAAGATGACTGGAGAAATTTAACTCTAATTGGCAACTGGGTGGCGCTATAACAACAGAAAAATGCTTAAAAATGGCTAAAATGTGACCGATCGCTGTGGCTCCCCCTGTGGACCACTGTTGTTGTTTTTTCTAATTTTTGGTATGACTAAGTCATGGTATGGTATGCTGCACTCAATGGGTATGGAGTAGTAGTAAATTAAACAACAGCTTAAGAAGACAAATAATAATGGGCTATGTCTACATGCACCAATCATTATGACACTATAAGTATTGGTTGATATTTGTCCCCAGAGAATGTGTACCAAATTTGGTGCAATTCTGTCAATCAGATTTTGAGGAACATATTTTTTGGCATTTGTGGAGCCCCCTATAGGTCAGGCTCAAAATGCTTAGGTGGGCAAATTCCCCAACATGGATTTAAGATATCAACCAAGATTTATGGTGATGGGACAAATTGTTAATGAGTTTATGCCAATTCCCTGCTAGCCCCGCCCTTTGCAGACTTTCTGATTGATGACAGCCATGTTGTCAGACCAGCCTTGCTCATCTATTGTCGAAATGTGTATCTCAGTCCCACAATGCTGTACCAAATGTGACTTTAATAATGACAAAATCCAAAAAGAAGCATTTTAAAGGTATTAATTACAGCACCTCCATGTGGGCATTTGTCAGATTTCTTGAGAAGCATTTGCACATTTCCAGTTATGAGGCCAGGTTTCATGTTTCTAGGTCATTCCAGCTCACTTACCGTGAGAGCCACGGCATAAGACAGCAAATAGTAATAATAATAAAGCTCAAACTCAATAGGGTTCTGCCTCTTTGGGACTTGAACCCAAAATAAAACAGAACACAGTGAGAGACAGACCAAACAGAAACAAATCCAAACATAAGACAGGCATGGAGATCTATAACAAAGCTTAACTTTAACGACTGGGTTTTAGACGTTGCTTAAAACAGTCAAAATATTCAGCAAATCTGAAGAATTGGAGAAGATGATTCCAGAGAGTTTGGGCTACAACAGTGAATATGTGATCACCTTTTGCTCACAGCTGGAGCATGGGGTGGATAAAAGGAACGAGGAGATCAGAAATGTACCTGGGGGCAAGATTCTGCAGCTCCTTATATATAATCAACAGCATTTTGTGGTTTATTCTGAATCTAACAGGAAGCCAAAGGAAGGATGCAAGACCAGTTGTAACATGGGACTGACGTCTAGTTGTAGTAAATAGCCTGGCAGCTGCATTTTGAACCAACTATAAACAATTTAAAGCAGTTTGACTGAGGCAAGTGTTGAGGGAATTATAATAATCTAGATGGGAGAAAGTGAAAGGGTGAATTAATGGTTCACGATCCAGAGAAGGAAAGATACATCTGATTTTTGCGATACTTCTTAGCTGTAGAAAACAGGGCTATATTAGAGTAGTAACATACTGGTCAAAAGTCATTTACTGATCAAAGATGATACTAAGATTTTTAGCAGTATGTATAAAGCAGGCAGCACAATGGTACAGTGGTTAGCACTGGCGCCTCACAGCAAGAGGGTTCCTGGTTCAAACCCATGGTGAGGGGTTCGAACCTTGGGGTGGGGGAGCCATTCTGTGCAGAGTTTGCTTGTTCTCACCATGTTGTGTCGATGAAGATTCTCAGTCATCCACGTAATCGTAATCATAAGTGCTATATCGTAGGCAACTGGACTTGCTTGAGTTTCTTGAAGATGTTTCACCTCTCAACCAAGAAGCTTCTTCAGTTCTTAAGGACTGGTGCTCAGTCACAGGCTTTAAACCACATGTTGGTGTGAACCAGAGATGGGGGACTCGAGTCACATGACTTGACTCGAGTCAGACTCGAGTCGCAAATATGATGACTTGAGACTTGCTTGACTAACGTTGATAAAAGACTCGACTTGACTTTGACTTTATATTCATGACTTGAGACTTGACTTGCGACGGATGACTCGAAAGGACTTGGCTTTAATTCAATATTAAAGGCACGCTAAGCACCGTTGGGCGTCACATCTGTTTACGTTCAACAATGTTATCAAACACAACGGAGCTAGCTCTGGTGTGAACCCTTACAGAGTTTTAGAGGTCACATGTGATCTCCTAGTTTTAGCGTTGTTAAGGTCACATGTAAGTCATTGACCCACCTGGCCATAATATGTGTCGTTAGGGTCAGATGGGACCAGGTGTGAATGGGTGTAAGGTCGTCTAGGGAGGGATCCCAAGGCTGCACTATAGGTGGGTTGTAAGGGTTCACACCCACACGGAGTGTAAAGCCTGCGACTCCACACCAGTCCGTTAGAACTGAAGAAGCTTCTTGGATGAGAGGTGTACTCTGGGTACTCCGGCTTCCTCCCACAATCCAAAGACATGCAGGTTAATTGGAGACTCTAAATTGTCCAGAAGTATGAATGTGAGTGTGAATGGTTGTTTGTCTCTATGTGTCAGCCCTGTGATAGTCTGGCGACCTGTCCAGGGTGTACCCTGCCTCTCACCCAATGTCAGCCGGGATAGGCTCCAGCACCCCTGCGATTGACTGACTGAATGAATGTATACAGCAAAGTGCAGAGATATGGTCACTTTCTAAGAGCAATACATGCAATACATGACATTTGTGGGGTTTTCCTCTCGTCTGTAGTGACTGATTTTACAGGCATGTGGTGTGAATATTTGCCTGCAGAGCTTTCACAACTGTCAAACAAGGGGTGTTGAAATTTCATTTGCTGGGAATCACTAAGTGCTCACAAGACCTTTGTGCTACAATTATCAGCTGTAATGAAAAAAAAAAGAAGATTGCCGTTAAAATGTCAACGGGAAATCATTCACATTACATCCTGTTGACGTTCCTGCAGCACAGAAAAAGCAGAAGTGTTGCTCTTTTGTTTGTCTCACAATAGAGAGTGTTTTTACTTTGACTATCCTTCATAATATGGGGTCATAACATGTCAGGCTGTCAGAGCGGGGAGTAGCTGAGACTTTAGAGGGTTGTTTGAACTGATTGGCTGATCTATTTTTATGTTTTTTTGATGTAATTTATATTTTTTTCTATGCTGCTCTTTGCTGCAGCGATGACCCAGTTCCCTCTCAGGGATTAAGATAGCTCATCTCATCTCCATCTGATGTGGCGCTCCCAGGTTACAATGTGATTAGGATGAGCATTAGGAGAAGTTTTCTGCATTGTCAGACATTTAAAAAATAAAACTTTAAATATAGTTTAGTGAATCCTATTTTTAAAAACGTCATTTCAATAAAATAACATTCTTAACAATGTTTTAAAGACATCATTCCCAGAAATGGCTGTCACACAATGCAACCGTAATACAAGTTATAGTGCACATGTGAAAGGAGCACACATTCCTAACAGGTTAGATCATTTTCTTTTTTATCCAACTGGGTGCAATTGGCTGCTGCTTTACATTCCTTCTGCCCTGTCCATGTCTCTTTGATAAGACATCGCAGGCATATCAACAACACTTCGCCTTTAAGTAAACAGAGGACGTTCGTCTGTGTGATCTAAGCCAATATAACGGCACAAATTCCTATGAAAGTAATGAATTCCGCTCTCTTTTGTCTCAGTAACCTCCCATTGTAGCCGACATGGCCACTGCATTATAAAGCTATGCTCAGCAGCAGCGTTTTTTATTGTTGCTGCCAAGAGGTGATAACAGATAAATGAATTCCTCATCCCAGAGATCAATAGAGTAAAACCAGCGCAACCGATGGCTGCCATGGTTACAGCCCGAGAAGAAAGTGGGAGGCTTTACACCCACCAAACTGAAAATGTCTGTGCTGATCCTCCATCAAAGCCTGCCTCCCAGGAAATGTTGGCCTGCTTTACCCCTGGAGAGACGGACAGCGCGGTAGCCACATGGGGACTGGTTCCTGTAATGGAAGGAATGGAGAGGAGTTGATGGATATCTGCCAGCACTTCAACTACCTGATACCACTAAAGTTTAGAGGCCATCTCTAGATGTACCACATTTATCTGTTGGAGGCGGAGTGGAGGCACAGGCATCCGGCCTGTGCTGGGTATAATAGAGGTTTACACAGGTATGAAGAGAACAATTTGAAAAAAGAAACAAACTAGAAAAGTGCACTCAGCAGAATGCACATCTCCGCCAGGCGGCTGGCCGGGCTGAACGCGGCCTCTCTAGACAATTCTCTTAATTTCAGCAGATGTGCTGGTACATGTTTCGGAAGCTACCCGAAAGCTAATAAAAATACTCGTCTATTTTTGAAAGAGCCACAGCACGATGCACAGAGCAGAGCGAGTTCTCCTGTTAACAGGCACTGTATGTGGAAAACAGATACAATTAATTTGGAGAATCTATTTTTAATTTACAACATAGCCACAAACTTTTGATCAAAGTCATTCAAAATTGGACTTTGAAGGGTTTTAACTTTGTCTGTATGCTACAGCACAACAAAGTCGGGAATATCAACAATGAACACAATTAACATACACCAAAAGGAACCATTTACTTTTGGTAGAAGCATAAATATTATGGAAAAATGACAAATGCAACAAAATCTACAGGTCTACAAAATAGGAAGGCAAAACGCTCTGCTTCTGAGATGCTTCGTGTGTGGTATGATGCCATTTGGCGGACGGAACGAAACCGGGTTGCAGCTGCGCCTGGTGGAATTGTCCCTCCTGTCTTCCGTAGTCAACATGGCAGTAAAGATGACAAAAATGGAGATTAATTCATCTTGAATTGTGCCTCACTTTAGTGGATCGTAATGTATCAGATACGAAATTAATCAATGCCAGTTTTAAGACATGACGTAGGCCTGCAACAGACTAAGTAAAGCCTGTTGTTTTTAACTGAGCGGATTTCCGGAAAATTTGGACCCCTAGCAGCCAGGTAAGAGAAGTGAGGAGTCAGCAGTCAGTGACGGTATAAAACAGTCATTGAAACAGGTTTTTCAATATCTGTGAATCACCACAACCATGAGAGGCTCTTGAACATACAATCATAAATGTGCACACAAAATATTAGGCTAATTGGTCCAATAGTTTGCAAGATTAGCTGCAAATACACACAAGCACACACAAACACATCATCGCTTCCTGGTGTAAGGGGATAAATATATGAACAGCTCAAGTTCCCACACACTTTCATGGACAAAATTTCAAAACTTTTCCATGACTTTTCAAGGACCCATAATAACTATTTTTTTCTTTCAACTCTTGCCTGGTGTAACAGATTCAAACTCTAAACATATCTTCAGCTAGCTGGCATACATGACTAGAGAGATGGTGAACGAGGAGAAAATGAAGTAATGTATGTGATAGTTAACAAAACATCACATATCAACGCAAATTACATTACGTCAACAGCTACAGAAAATAAATTTGCTGTTAGGTTACATTACGTGAAAGGTTATTAATGGTAGATTACTGTAAAAATGTCATTACACACAACAAAATTCCAAGACTTTTTCAAAACTTTCAGTGATATTTACTAATTCTATTACCTTTCCAGGCCTGGAAAATGTGATTGAGAAATGCTATGTCTTTTCCAGGTTTTCCATGACCCTGGTAATAAGACTTTCATCATGGTATTCTCAGGGAGGAATCTTTCTGTTTGCACTCACCCAGGACAAAGACTTGTGTGCTGGCTTTCACTGAGGCTACGCGATTAGTAACGGTGCACTCCCACGCCCCCTGGTGGTCCTTAGTGAGAGGCTGCAGGAGCAGAGAACCGTTGGGTTCTATGGTGTAAGATGTGCGACGAACCAAGTCAACCTACATGAACACAAAACCGTTCATATTTAGAGAGAATACTCTTTGCATCTGTCTAAATGTACAGTAGATACAGCTGGTGTAGACAGAAGAAAAAAATCAATCATATTACCAACACAATGGATCACTTTTCGAGCTAAATTTACTCAATATTAGAATCTGTGAAAAGTGCCAACAGTCTGCAGTGTAGTCTGACAGTACTGGGACAGCGACATATTCTTCTCTTTTTTTTAGCTCAATACTCCAGCAGATTGGATTTGAAATAAAATAATGAGCACCTAATCACTAAATTTGACTTAGTTAATTACACAGCATGCTCAACCACTTTGCTATACCATCGACTGATCTGGTCCCATTATCTTTGCGTCTGGATTTGAAAGCATGTGTTGAATTGGGGAAGTGGGTGTGTTCGTGCTAAAACAGGATGTCAGAGTGCTGATTGCTGAAGCAGCTGCTCACTAACTCTCTACAAAGGAAAATCATTGATGCACTGATCTCAGTGGATTGAAAGGCTCCACTTCTGACCACATTCATCATTACATTGTGAAACGCTGCACAGCACAGGTTGTGTAAGGAGCACGTTGCAACCACTAGAGGGCAGCACTACCAGAATGGCAGTGAAATGGTCATTAACATATGTAATGTGCCGCATTTCTGAGTGGAATGTAGTTAGGTTGTCATTAGATGGATAGCAGGAGGTGGAGGATGAAGTAGAAACGTAAATAAATAGACCTCAAACATGCTTCTCTGCGAATCTAAACCATGTTTTTGCCAAGTGACAACCACCTCCTGCCACCATGATATTGCTCTGCAAGCTGCTACGACCCACGAGCTAAAGGTCAGGTGCAGTTTTACATGACTGGTTAAGCTCATAGCCCCACATTTAATTAAATACATTTAAACATACCTCTTGAAGTTCAGGATGAGACATAAAAAATAATTTAATATTTTCCAGGAAGAGAGGGATTTTGATATGAAAATACAAAGTCTCTAAGGGTGTTTAAAGGGACAGTTTACCCCAAAATCAAAAAATACACATTCTTCCTCTTACCTGTGGTGCTACTTATCGGTCGAGATTGTTTCAGTGTGAGTTGTCGAGTGTTGGAAATATTGACCGTTGCTCAAATATAACAGAACTAGATGGCATTTTGCTTGTGCTGCTCAAAGGGCTGAAAGTTTTGTTTATTTTTTTGTTTACCAAACTACACCAGCCAACCGTATCACTGTGCAGAAGGAAGCGTGCATCTACTCATGGACGAGGGCCTTGTGACAGCATGAGATGTAAACACTAATGCGTCCTCCTCTGCTGAGCTGTAATGTTAGCTAGCTCAGTGGTGCGAGCTGAACTAGCAGTAGATACACCTTTCCTTCAGCACAGTGATAAAGTTGGTGGGTGTAGTCCAGTAGTTTCGGTGTGAGTTGTCGAGTGTTGGAAATATTGCTCAAATATAACAGAACTAGATGGCATTTCGATTGCGCTGCTCAAAGGGTTTAAAGTTTTGGTTTTTTTTTTCTTTTACTGAACTACATCAGCCAACCATATCACTTATGGCGTCCTCCTCTGCTGAGCTGTAACGTTAGCTAGCTCAGTGGTGCTAGTTGAGCTAGCAGTAGATGCACTTTTCCTTCAGCACAGTGAAACGTTGACAGGTGTAGTCTGGTAAAACTAAAATAGTTCCTACGTGAAACTGCTCACAACAAAGTTAAGTTTTTCAAATGTTTTTTTTTTTTGGCGCTTTGAGCACCACAAGCCGAGTGCCATCTAGTTCAATTACATTCAACAGAGGGCCGACGGATGATATCGCAACACTTGACAACTCACACCAAAACAATGTAGATTATAAATAGCACTACACTGCACTAAGAGAAAAAATATGTATTTTCTTTATTTTGGGGTGAACTGTCCCTTTAACATCCATACAGGATGAATACTGTAGAAATGATAAGCCATTTTATACACCTATTCCCCTAGATTTTGAACGGTGCAACAGGACAACTATAAGACAACAGAGACAAAACATCAGAATATCTGTCACTGTCCAAATACATCCAGACTGCACCAAATGTCTTAGTGTGTGCACATTTCTATTACCATTTTGACATTTCCTTGTACATACTGCAAAAAAAGACGTCCTTGTGAACATCTGCAGCACCATGAATAATACAGGACTGCTTAGTAATTGAATAACCTGTACTGGGTAATTTACCTTGCTCCAGGTCACTTTAATTGTAGGGTCCTTGTTTCCTTGACAGGGGATGAGCAGTGTTCTACCGGCTTCCTGTTTGTACTGCTCCTCTGGAGTGACGCTGAATGATGGGGGGTCCTGTGAGTTTCCAAAGCAATATAGCAGAATCAAGGAGATTGCAGCAATAGCAACAATGGATTTTAAGACTGGATTACCGCCGCTTTGGACAAGATTATCTTAATAACAAAAGGATTAGCCACACAATTAACTCCCCAATAGCGGAGCCATTGTAGCGAGTCTGAGTTGACTTCTATTAATGCCAGAGGGCTCACACGTCGGAGTGAAAAGGTCAATAAAATGTCGTTTCTGTTAAGTTTTTTTAATTTGCTGTGACGGATGCAGTTGTGGCTTATTAATATACACGCACGGTGGTGTAGAATGACAGTTTAGCAGAACTAGAAAGGCAGATACAGTGATGATGTAGCCTGGCTGACACCATTTTAATGATTTAATGTCACGTACAAGTATAATATCAGTACAGGTTTTGGATTGTAATTGTAATTTGTGAAATGTACATGTAATTTGGCTTGGTTGGCTTGGAATGAACACTGACCTGCAGAATTACATTCGTTGCCTCAGATGAACCCATGCTGCCGTAGCTGTTGTACGGCATACACGTGTAAATGCCTGCTGTATCATCATTGACTGTGGTCATGAACAATGAGCCCACTGGTGTCAAGGTCCAACCTGGATACTGAAAGAAATGCACAATGTTCACACCATTCTGACTGCAAAGAAAAGGAACTGACACATCCACTCTTAAATAATACATTGAATTAGTGGCAAAGACATATCTTAACTTAGAGGAGCGCCAAGAGCTTAAAGAGCAGGAAATCTGCAACAACTCCAAAGTGCACATATGAGCTCTTCAGCTGCGTTTGAAGGATTTACAGAAATAATTTCTTATTATCTGCTCGCCATAGTCCTGAAGTGGTTAAATACTTAAGTCCCAACTGGGTAGATTATTTCCAAACTTCTCTAAAACTGTTCATTATTTATTGATGTTGTCACAGCTTTTGCAAGATGATATCTAAAGTACATGAAAAAGATAAAGTGATCTGTTTTAATTAAAAAAAATGTTTTGGGGGGATATTCCCTTGATCATTTTGGAGGTGACTCCCAACCCACAGAGCAGAAATGCTCAGAGGAGCTTTCAAAATCACTTTTTTGAAGCATTTGCATCAAGAGCAGTTAAAATTTCATGTAATTTTTTCCCAATGAGCCACAGCGGAGGCCTCGTGTTGTGCTTTGACTGAGCGAAAGGTTTCCACTCAGTTTAATGAAGTCAAAACTGCTATTATCCTCCCCAGAATGAGGCTGTGAGAACGTATTACTGCGTGTATGAGGGCCTGTGACATCCAGCATGGAATTGGAATAATTGGCAGAATAACAGCCTGACTCCAACGTCTGTGTCCCGCACTACAGGAACGTATCACATTTCCTGCGGCGCGTCTCATCCAGCGACATGTCCATCGCTCAGACTAAAGTGTTGAGCAAAGGGGGGTCAACTCAGCATGTAAAAGGGGGAGGAAGTGGGCGGATCTTTGGCACGCAAAACAAAGATAATGGTTTAAAAGCTGCCATCACGGGCTATTATTTTGAAACAGAGGTACGTTCAAATATTGCATCATGATCTGAAAGAAAAAGGTTAAAAAAATCTTGTGGTGAGGTTGTGAGAAGTCACACCCCCTGCCCTTCATCTATAAAGGTTTCTCTTCCCTTCCCACAGACAAAGTGAGCAGCGGATTGAAGTAGAAGTGGGGAAAAAAAGAAAAAACCGAGAGAGCAAGGGGCAGTAAGGAGTTCCTTGGGGATTGCTTCAAAAGCTTTTAAGATTGCACACCACCATCCCTGTCCTCTAAGATGTATGTGGTTGAATGACTGTCCAATTGAAAAGCTGAAAGGATATTTCCATCAGCAGACACAGGAAACGTCCCATTATAAAGCCTGAGAAAATCTATCATAACGTCTACCTCGGTCCTCACACTGTGATAGCAAGAAAATAGTTACTCTGCTGCTCCATAGGCAAGTTGAGTGGGCTGATTGTTAGAAAAGCTTTTGCATGATGAGCTGCTGACGGCTGCCTCATAGATGCTTGTCGTCAGCTGCAGTGCCTGACATTTCTCAGCTAAAAGAAAATGAGTGAATTCAGCTGCTGGTTCCCTGTGATGTTTGCAGTATCAGGAATCAATAGATAGTGTTGGCCAGACAAAACGAGAGGACAGAAATTTGACTTGGAGCACACAGTAAAGGTCGGGCACTGTTATGATGGCTGCCCATCCATCTGGAAATTATCATTTTTATTACCAAGGACAGGTCGAGTGGTTCTCCATCTTTTGTCCAGTCCACACGGAGCAGCGGAGGCTGAGCAGCCGCAGGGCAGGTGACCACGCCCTCCATACCTGTGGGAAGGTACGTTTCTGGGGGCATTGGAAGAGCCAGGGCTGGGTCTGAGCACAGGAGAGACATAAAAGTAGTTTACTTTGAAATAATGAATACAATTTAGATGCACATCGGTGATTTAATACCATGGGAAGCACTGGTGCAAATAAACTGTGCCACGATCCATAACTTGTGAATCATTTTGAGAACAGATTGTTTTGTTGTAATCAATATCCCGAGAGCCTGTTTTGATTACAGGTGCTGCTCCTTTCATTTACAGCTGACTGAATGTGTCTGAGGGGTTTTACAGGTCTGCAAACAGCAGTGAAATGTTCAGAGGAACCAAGATTCAAATGCATGAATAGTGGGACCTGCTGCTGTCATTTCCAAACACTGATCATCAATAAACCATGCTGTTTTCTGTTGCTGTTACAGGCTTGTTTAAAATTGTAAACAGATGAAACAGGCTTAAATTTCAATTATGGTTAGATGACAAACAAAGAAATGCTTGTTTTTCACACATATATATACATGGCATTTTATTTATATGGTGGTGTAGTGGAGGGTATACAAGGTATATCTCCTCTTTGTCTTCAGTAACCTACCATTCTTCCTAGTAGTGCATCCACCTCATCAACTACCATTACACCACTGCATTCATATATATGCTGTTCAGCCTGGTATAAAATGACTCTTAATTAGTATTTTAAACCCCGTTTCCACCGAGCAGTACGGTACAGTTCAATACGCTTGTTTTCCATTTCCACTGTGCAAAGCTGTGGATGGTACCAATGGAACCATTCCGTACCGTCCCCATTTTTGGCCCCCCCTCTGTCGGGGTACCTAGCACACAGATCTGGTACTAAGGCCCAATCCCATTTCTACCCCTTAAATCTTCCACTTGGTATTGAGTGAAATACTAGGGTAGAGATCTTTCCCTAAGAAATGAGACGTCACCATAGTAGCAACGCAAGATACCAGTTGTCATTCAGGTTTGACAATGCCGGCTCCAGCACTTGTGTTGTGGTGTGTGCTGTGTTTATTCTTCTCTGTCTGATGAATCAACAGAGAAGAAATGCTGAAAACAGGAGGCGTCTACGACGTCTTCTAGTTCTGATCGATTTTGTTCGGGTCAGTCGATTTGTTTAAATATTTTGACGCTGTGTTCAATCGAGTTGCTGATGAGTTTACGCTAGTCCAACCATCTGTTGTTCGTATAGCCTACAGTCCGATCGTACAGTAACAGTAACACAACATTGTTTTCCAAAACTTGCTGAAGTTCCTGACTTCTCAAGGTGTTCTGGGAAATTTCATCTTCCACTTCTTTTAAAGTGTGGGTCGGGGCTCCCTTGGAATCTAGGGCGGGTTTAAAGTGTTGGAAACCACTTCCACTACCTCAAGTCTGTTTTGGGACACCACTTGCCTAAACGTGTACGCGCACAACCAAGTGCAAGTGGGTAATTCTAGGGGAAGTGTGGGTATTGGGACAGGCCCTAATTGTTGGAGCTCTGATTACAGCTGCTCTAAAGAAAATTACTTAATTCACTGGGCCGACTGCTGGCAACCTTTCTGGAGCATTGTTCCTGTGGGCTCCGGCAACACTAAACCCCTGAGCTTGCCTGAGAAGTCTAAATGCACAAACCTGTTATTTTAAATATCCCATGGAGAGAGACTCTCACTGCAGCCTGTTTTGTTCTGAAAATGTTGGCGTGCAGCCTTGATCTGTGGACGATAAACGAGGTGCAGACTTCCATCTGTGTCACCGGTAATGAGGAAACACAGTGAGTGTTGGACGGAGCAGTGAGTGACGCTAGGGTCTAGGTACCATGTCTGAAGGGTTACTGTTGGCTCCAAAGGTACCATACTGAAAGTGTTTGGTGGAAACAGGGCTTTAGACCGAGTAGGATGTAATTTATCTTAATATAATATCATATCCTACATTTGCCATCACAGCAGTGTCATTAGTAAAAGAGTACCAGTGTTTTAGTGCTAATAAGCCAAAAACATTTTAAAAAAATCCCTGATGGTTGCAGAATTAATTGTTGCACCATAATGTGTTGAAACTCTGGAGAAACAGACAAAGATAAAAGAAGTGTTTGATGTCTTATGAGAGCCCACGACTGCAGACTACACACACAAACGTACGCATCACTGTGAGGTTGGCGGAGGCTGTGGGCGGGGTCAGCAGGCCATTGGTGGGCATGCAGGTGTAGTTCCCAGAATCCTCAGGGATGAGACTGGAGACGAGCAGAGTTCCATCAACCATGATCTTCACTCGCGACTTCAGAGACCTGGAGAAAAAACACACGGGAATTCTTCAGTATGTAAAGGAGAAACCAGCTGCTTCAGAATAACAGTGAGAGTTAATTCAGCTCCTCCGTTCTAGTCAAACAGGCTCTCAGTGCATCAACAGTGTAGGAGGTTGGTTTTTTTTTTCCCTCTGTGAGAGTTATTCACCAATGTGTGCAGATGGAGGTTAAGGAAATTTCATTTCATTTCAGATAGAGTGGGAAGAGGAGAGTGCCCACTCAATTTATACATTCTTACACTTACAGAGAAACCAGAGAGAAAACACGAGGACTCTACCAGGCTGCAACACCTTCTGAACAAGTGACACATGCACACTACGATATGTATTTGTGGGACGACTCACAGCCACACATTTGTGGCTAATTACCATACAGGTCAGATGAATCATGTACTGTAACCGACCCCGGATATTTCTCCACACTACTCCTGTTATTCTCTCTCTGCATTGATATCAGCGTCAACCTGTGCTGCTGAATGCTGATTTTATTAAAGCTCCACTTACCAATATTTTTATATTAACGATGAATCAAATGACTAATGTTAAAGGGGTCATCTGCAGGGACAAACCCACAAAGAATCATCATCAACTCTACAGCTCTGCAGGGCTTTTTAGGCTCTTTAACACATTGAGATGGTTTTATGACAGATTTACTGTATTGTTCAGTCTCTGTGTTTCCTGCAGCAGCAGGCAGCAGAGACACCCACTGCACGCTACCTGCCCCCATCACATGACAGACACAATGAGAACAATGACAAGCTGGTGAAAAACAGAAAATGAAAAGGCTAAAGAGACAAATATTTTTATCTGGACTTTATGGAGACCAAACCAGAGCTCAAAGAAAGGCCAGATACAAATATAACTAAACAAATGCTGCTCCTCTTACGTTAGATGTGTAAATTCAGGCTGCAACTAATGATTGCTTTCATTTTGGATTAATCCTTCTGTTTTGTTTTTTTTTTTACAATTTTTTATTTGTTGATTTATTAATTCATCTATAAAATGTCAAAAAAGTGAAAATGAAAGAAGAGAATATTTGACCTTTTAGCAATGTTAGTGGCATAGCTCTATCATTGTCAGTTAGTCCACCACTTTCATCCAGACTGAAACATCTCAACAACCACCCAGCCAACACTTGTATGAGGGGCCCATGTAGATAGAAAATGGGGTGAAAAATGGGCTCTATAAGGGATTGTCCGTGGGTTTCATAATGGCCCCGTGCCGCTTGCCCACATGGCTTTCATGCAGGGCTACACTAGGGGTTCAGTGGGCCCCAACTGGGCAACATACGCAAGACCCATCTTGGTCCCAGCTTTAAATTCTATAGGCCCGTTTCCACCGCAGGAACTTCGGGGTAATTTTACGGGGCCGTCAGTTTTGGGTAATCACAATGTCTAGAAAGCATCAGCTGACAGGGACAGATAACAGCAGCAGCAAAGCTAACACCAGGACATCATCTGTTAAAAGCCTCCCGTTGTCGGATAGGACATGAAACTACTCCAGTTAGCTCAATCATGTTGTAACTAAGACATCTGCTGGAAAAAAAAATTTTTTCACAGACCGTGACCGGAGTTATTACAGACACCGCTAACGGCTAATGGCGTCCCTACACCCCTACGTTGCCCCGGTCAAAATGGTCGCGCAAGGATTACGTCACATCCTGAGCCCGTTAACTTTACAGGAACCTTCCTCCTACTCAACTCTCTCAGTGGAGACACAGCAGTTGAGAGGGCCGAGCGAGGGGACGTTCCTGTAGTAGTTCCTGCCCCCCAAATAGTACCAGGAACTTCTTCAGTGGAAACGGGCCTTATGTGGGCACTACATGGGCTGAAATATGGGCTGCAGGTGGGTTAGTCCAAGGGTTTCATGCCTGCCCATGCCACTGGCCCACATAGGTTTCATGCAGGGTTACACTGGGTATAAGGGTGGGACCCAACTAGGCAACATATGCAAGACCCATCTTGCTCGATGGATTGCCCTGAAATTCGACAAAGATCTCCTTGATACCCAGAGGATGAATCCTATTGTAGTAGCATAACTTAAATGACTATTCACCAGACCTAGAGTTGTCTTGCTTTGGTCTGAATCAGGGACTCATTTTGTCACAAAGCTGTATAATTGCCTAGAGTTGGTTTGTGTTCTCACGGCAGCATTTACAAGTGGACCAGATCAAATGCCTTGTGCGAGAAAGCTGCTCTTGATTGGTCAGAATTTCCATGCGGGAAAAATCCAGGAAGTAAAGCAAACGTTGAAGAAGAGTACACTTGCAAGATAAATGTGACACTTTCTAATGTCACAATGGAGGGACAACTACGCAGGTTGATTTTAGCGCTGCTCATCGTGGACTATATTGCCGTCATTGTTCATTTTAGTCAAACCATACAGTTTGAAAACGAGGTGCGGCTCCAACTAGAAAACAATGTTTTGATGCATTGGATGTGCTGAATGTGCATATTAAGGCAGTACAGGAGGAGGTGCACATTAATAATCCTCCAGGACTGTAACATGCTCATGTTTAACCCAAACAATGTGTCATGTGACTGTAGTTGGTTCAGATCCAGGTTGGAACACATTCTCACAACAAACGAACCGCACCAGAGTTCGTTTGTAACCGGACTGAGACCACCTCTTCAAGAAGGTCTCAGTCTGGTTGTTTTGGTGCACACCTGAGTGTGATTGCTGTGTTCACACCTGCCCAAATGAACCGCACTTAGGGGGCAAACGAACTTGAGTTTGATTGAACTGAACCAAACAGGGCAGGTGTGAAAGCACCCTTAGTCAGCTTCCAAGCGAGCTCTGGTGTGGTTCATTTGTGATGTGAATGCAAACAAACCAACCACAGGCCTTTATGACAGCAGATGTGATTTTAGCATAAATTAAAAAGCTTAACTACTGATACATCCACCTGCTGACTGAAGTCTGCCCCTGATCTTATATTTGACCTGTATAACACTGGGTTCACACTGGATGCATGTTTGTTTGTTTATATATTGTTTATAATATTTAAGCATAATACATTTTACCCTCAAATTCCTCCCTCTTCCTATGAGGCTTTTGTTTTTATAATCAACTTGTCATATACTCGTTAAACTCCTTCAAATAAAAACCAAAAACCACCATGGAACTGTGAATATCTTGCACCTAAAAAAACCCTACAGGAATTCTGTAGAGTAACTGGAGAAAAACTAAAGTGAAAGTCCGTTTTGACATTCTCACAGAGCACCAACTATTTTTAACAAAGCAATTACGAAAGAGCTTATTTCCCAAAATTCGTAACAGATGATCAGAATAATCCTCGTGTGCTCTCCTCAGCTGTTAACAGTATTATATATCAGCTCCAAAAAACCTCTCTGAAACTTTTTTCCACATCAGAATCAGGTTAAGTATTAACCTGAGTGTGGCTGTAATGAATAATGATATGTGTGATGAGAAATGCTCGGGAGGAGAAGTAATGCAAATTAAGCCCTCCACCTGCTCAGCTGACCCTATCCCAGCCACCGTTTTTAAGAGAGTGTTCAATTGTCTGGTGGATGATGTGCTGGCAATCATGAACCATTCTCCGCTCACTCGGATCTTCTCCCTGGCACTGAACACTGCTATTGTAAAACCTCTCCTACGGAAAAGCTCATTCAGTGCTTCCACAGTTTCAGGTCAACTTCATTTTTCTTTTAAAGTAACATGAGTGGAGTTGTACTTTTTTCCATCTCCTCCCTGTCTTTATGGTAGAGGCTGTTACATGTGGCCTACATTAAGTTGTGCAGTCATTTATTTTGGGGTCATCTGGATGAATGACAAGTCAAAAACAACATTAACTTTCATTTTAGAAAAATATCTATAGTGTAGAACAGTGGTTCCCAACTGGTCCAGCCACAGGGTAGAGGCATCTCCTTAGTCATTAGTTTAAGGTCCACACAGTATAAAACATTCAGCCCATAGACTGTATATAAAGATGAACAACGCGTCTCCACTTACCACCACTGTACAGAAGTGAAGCTAAAATATCCTGGATACAACTGCTGCCATCTTGCTCTGGTGACCTCATTTGGAGCCAGAGTTTGTGCAGTAGCAATCTCCACGATACAAAGTTTCCCGCCCATACACCCATTCAACCAGTTGCAAGCAGCGCCACTGAATCTGAGTCCATTGATTGGCTCACACAGTTGTCAATCATGCTGTAAAATCCCTGTTTAATAGCATCAAATAACTAATTAAAACCAGACTTGTCAGAGTCACAAAAACTCCCTTAAATGACAGAAACCATCGTTGGGAAAATTTTTATTGACACGTATTTTGAGCTTTTAGTTTGGCCCATGTCCCATCCACTAACATGGAGGAGGCGGGGTTTATAGACCTATAGTGCAGCCAGCCACCAGAGGGCGGTCCAGATGTTTCGGTTTCACTTTTGTGGAGTAGTCATGTTGTCTATCTTTATATACAGTCAATTGCTGTGACTCAAATCGCATACTTCTGTACTTACACTTAATATTTTGAGTGCATAAGTGCGTTCACACTGAGAAGTATGGAAAAATGCAGTGCACTATGAGTACCTGGATGGTGCACTCAAAACGGTCATGAAGTTGAGTGTGGAACTATGGACACTTCTCGTCCTCAATGGTAGCCATCTTGGCTACGTAGCCGAAGGGGAGGGACCACTTTTCAAACTGGAAATGGCGCCCGAGGACTGTGCGACCATGAACGTCACTGCATTGTATAAATACATGTGTCTCTACACCACTATACTGTTGTCGGATATAAGCCAGCAGTATGTTTATTGGGTTAATTTAGCAGTCTGTAATGATTTGGGTCCGCGAATGATAACGCGAATGCTAATGCTAGTTTGCTAACTAGCTCATTTGTGGTCGTCATTTCCGCTGAGTGCACGTGCAACGTGTTTGGTTTAAGACAGCACCACCCTGTCGAAATTCGCACACTATGCCAATAAGTACAAAGTGCACAGAGTATTGTACTGACAGAAGTATGTGA